CCGTTGTGTAGTGGTTAGAGCATCCGCCCCGGAGAGCGGAAGGTCGCGGGTTCGATCCCCGGCTGCGTCATACCAAAAGACGTTAAAATATGGTACTTGTTGGTCCCTGCCTGGCGCTCGGCATTAATGGGTACAACAAGGACTTGTCGGCTCGGAGTCAGTATAATGTGTCTGAGTGGGGTATTCATGCTTCACTGCGGCATGGTAAATCTGGGCTAGTACAAGCAGCCGCACATACACACGCATGCACGTCGTCATATGAGCGAAATATTCTCAAGCACGACGTAAACCCAATTTCACCTCACCTCACCTCACCTCACCTCGTCTCACCTCACCTCACCTCACCTCACCTCACCTCACCTCACCTCACCTCACAACCTAAATGAAGTGATGAAAATCTATGTGACGTGTGGAGAATTCATAGACAAAACCCGTTGGAGATTGACAATAACACAGACACTTTTATCCTACGAAATCTATATGTATAGATCTTCTCTGACTACAATACCTGAACTGTTTGACTGCTCTCTTATCCATCCAGAATTAACTACACGCATACTATGGAAAATAGCCTATGTTCATCACCAGTTCCAAGTAAAACTAGCATCTGTTGTGAAAATAGCTAGCATGAAAATCTTTGCGAGAGAGTGTGCCCTATGTGACAAGTATGTACAAAACTACGCAAAACATGTACTCCTAAACTGTGCAACACCCAGTGAAGACAGAAATAGAGTCTTTGGGGCACTTGCATCAATGCTATCAGTGCATGATTTTGTTACATTCTGTGACCAGAGTGATGAAAAGACCATGAACTTTATTCTAAGTGGGGAACATAATGAACTCAATCAATTGGACTTTCAGATTTGGAACCAAGTAATCCTAAAGCTTTCTGAATTCGTTCACAAATGTAGACCATATATATGTCCAGACTCCAACTAGTCATTATAGCAGTATCAAGTACATACTGAAATGTATGTCTGCAATATCCCTGTACATCCCAGTCTTATGACTGACTGTTTTGTATTTTGTGTACTGCTCTTCATGACAATGGAGGAAATAAAGTATATATACATATATATGGTCTCTGTTACAAGTATCTGAGATTGCCACTGTTGTTGCGTATACTGTGGGTGTGGGAAATCAATACATAAACAGCTGGATCTTGTTCTTGTATAAGATGTACTTTTGTACTTTTCAGAGACCCCTACATTTAGCTTAACATCCGACAAACTTGATAACGCTTTTAAAAAATGAAACAATTTGAGGTTGTGAAAACAACAAATACTTCCCTGTAGTATGGATTATTATATACTGTATAATGAGTTGCTGTACAGTGTTCACATTATGCTACTTTATAGTTTTGTCACTTTGAGAAGCAGCATGGTAAACATCCTTTAATCAGAGTCAAGACATCGTAGCTGTCACAGTTAGTGACATCTGTAAGACAGACTAATGATTAGTACCTGAATATATACTCTCCCAAAAAAAGAAACGCATCATGAAAATAGCAATTTCATGTAGCAATGAATTAAAACGTGATTCATTTTACAAAAGGTTTTGCTCTGTTTATGAGTCCGATGGTGTTTATGTTTTGAAACATCACAACAAAACGCACCATCCGTAAAATACCCGTATTTAACAGCATGATTTTCAATTTCGGCGTGTAGTGTCACAGAATACACAATTCACATGCAATGCAATGAAAGTTGGGGATCAGATAGTCTCAATGATGGGTATAAAAGGTTGCTCGCTGTCTGTCGATTATTCACTGTATTTGGAATATTGTTGACGAAAACAAAATGCCACGTCTAAGTGAAGCCAACCGTCATATCGCCATTGGTTTGCTTGAAGCTGGCCAGTCTCAACGTGCAGTTGCCCGACGCATGAATGTTCACCAAAGCACCATTTCACGGCTCTGGGAGAGATATCGCCGGCAGAATGCGGTAGCAGATGCCCCTCGTAGTGGGCGACCTCGAGCGACCACTGTGGCGCAGGATCGCTACATCCGGGTACATCACCTGCTTCATCGAACAGCTACGGCGACCAGTACCGCTCGACAAATACCCGGATTGAGGAGGCTTTCTGCACAGGCCGTCAGGAACAGGTTGAGAGAGGCTGGTTTACGTGCCAGAAGACCTTATTTTGGCCCTGTGCTTCGACAACAACATCGTCGACATCAAGTTCAGGCCAGGAACTTACCGAATTGGCGTAGAATCAGGTTCAGTGATGAATCACGATTTCTATTGGAACGACGCGATTGAAGAATGCGGGTGTACAGACGTCGACGTGAACGTTTCGCCGACGCTTGCGTTCCCCAGGTGGACAGATTCGGCCGGTGAAGTGTTATGATGTGGGAAGCGATCACCTGCCGTAGGAGAAGGGATTTGGTGATGATCCAGGGAAACCTGACAGCTCAACGGTCCTGTGACGAAATCCTACGCCCACACCTCCTTCCAATCATTGATCGCCAGAGGGAGTTGTTTCAACAGGACAATGCCAGGCCCCACACAGCACGTCACACTAGAGACTTCCTCCAGAACCACGACATCAATGTGCTCCCCTGGCCCTCAAGATCACCGGACTTAAACCCGATCATCTGTGGGATGCCCTGGACAGACGAGTACGACGCCGTAACCTCAAGCCCCAGACACTTCAGCAACTCGCACAGGCACTACAGGCAGAGTGGGCTGCGATTGGGCAACACGAGATTTCTGAGACTTATTCGTTCGATGCCGAGGCAATGCCGTGCAGTTCTGGATGCCCACGTTGGTCACACGAGGTATTGACTTCAGCGCCACCACACGTCTCCATGTGACACTCAAACTGACTTTCCTCGAGTTGGTGCCATAGACGGATAAGTCTGCATTCCCAGTGTGCAATTTCGCTATATTTCATTGTCTCATAAAGCCTACAAGATGTTTCAAAATAGACATAAAAATACAGTTGAAATTCCTATATGCGTTTTTTTGGGGGGAGAGTATATATAATTTTGAAAGCAACACATAAAACAAACAAACAAACAAACACACACACACACACACACACACACACACACACACACACACACACACACACACACAAAACTCACGCACCTTTCTGTAACTATTAGGTTTATAGATCCACTCCAAAGTTTTTGATAAACAACTGTCCCGGGTTGGTATAACCTGCACTTGACAACGTATTACAAGCCTAACGCCACTCCCTGAACACACCGAAGCATGAACGCGTGACAAATTCATACAGAAAGCGGGTATCTCGGGTACAATCTTCTATTTGTATTATTCCAACAGTTACTTTTTTCTATTATTCTAACAGTTACCACTGTATGTTAGGTTTTCTTGCGTTCGCAAAACCAGCAAAACCAACTGTAGCTTTATGTATGCATGAATATGTGTGTGCGTGCGTGTGTGCGCACTTGCGTGCGTGCGGGTGCGCTTTGATCCAACTTTATGTCGCTGACAAGTGTTTCTGTGCTTGGCAAACCAGAGGTGATTAATTTTACCTGTGTTACTGATTAATTTTACATTTTGATCACTTATCTCAACAAACGAAAGTATTTTGCCTGGTGCATGTCATAATTTACAGATGCTAACAACGCCCAGTTAATTACATTCATTAAATGTTTCTAGTCATGAATGAATAGGTGGCTTTAACGATGATGTGACTTGAGTCAGCGGAGTATCACGCCAAGGAGTTCAGAAGGAATGAGAACCCCGGGGCAAACCACGTAGGACCTAAATCGGTTAGCAAGTGCTGATAATTAGCGCCGTTGGTTATATCCTGGTCGGCACGAATGGACTATAACGGATAGATCAACCTGCTTCTAGTGTTCGATTGTGGGATTTTCTTTTCATTCGTCATGTAGAGTAAGTAATATTCCGCGGGATGGTGTCTTTTATGAACCTAAAACATGGAGTTATATTTGAGTTCCACTTAAAAATAGCTATATCCCGGTCTTCCGAAAGTACATTTTGGCCTCTCTTCTTTTGTTGATAGGCAGTGGTCAGGTTGTCCGTGCATTGTGAGCAGGGTAGGGGATTCCAGCTACCTCCTCTACGTACAACAGTGACCTTATACAGAGTAACGGGTTATTTATCAGGCAGATAGACACGAGGGACTGATGTAGTGTCCCTGGGTGTACTACATGCCTCGCTGATGCCACACAGTAAGGCTATTACTGCATGTCACTTACTACCCTGTGTATGTCGCTGGAGCGTAAACACCAACAGTCAAGCCATATTTCATTCAAATAAATCTGTGTAGGTACAGTTAACAAGGTTGATGGATCTACGAAGTAGCTGTCTGTGACCACATTATCAACCCACGCTGCCGTGTTACCTACTCCCATGTTCACGCTGTAGCGTCGGGGAAACACCACGTCTTGTACAAATCACCTATACAGATATCTCCAAAATGTTAAATCAAATTCCTTCCAACTTTGATAATAATACCTGAACATTAAAACTAGCTGGTTATTTGTTGGTAACATTTTGATAGAAGAAAAGAAGCTTAATAGTTCGAATGAGAGATTGATATCCACTGAGATGTAATTTACTTGCTACAAATAAGTGGCTTTGCTTTAAATTCCGCTTTGAAAGGCCCCTCAGTTTGGAGAGATAAGGTTTGGAGAGACCTTTACAATGGGATGAACTAAGAGGACAACATACTTCATGCAACTTTATGTGCACGGAGGTGAGAGTAAATAGTAAATAGTTCATTTTTTCTGGCAATGTATGTATTGTCTCTGAAATCGGAGTGCAAATATACATCTGGTAGTTTTCAACGGGTCACATTGGTAGAACGTCCGAGCATACGACAGAATGGTCTGGGAAATGTATACATTTATTATCAGGATCAAGGTATGGGCTCATTCTTAACACACAAGGACAAGGCTTACTTGAGGAAGTGATACAAAACAGACCAAGCTGTTGTAAAATAAACCCACATAAGCATACCACGCTCGCGTAAAGTGCCCACCCTTGATTTGTTCGAAGAGCGCCCTCGTGGCGTTATTTAACGGTTAACTTCCTACTATACTCCTCGGTGGGGTGGTTGTAGTGGGGTCTATCGGATATCTCGTGTTTGGGTAAAGATGAGCGTCGTTACTGGACCTGTCGACAGATCTACCCGACCTGGCAGACGTCTATCATCTCTTAGTGAAGAGGACAGACGGCTTTCATCTGTGGAGGAACACAGTGAGGAGAGAGACCACAAGCCACCGACAAAGGGTAAGTGTACTCTTACACTGGCTGTCAGTACATGGTGACATGGTTCTACCGATAAGCGGGGGAAAAACATTCGACTCATTCATCGAGGATTGCGACTGTCTACGGGTGTACGAGAGTGTATCACCAAACATGTGTACGGCAGTGTACACATCTACCCGTGTATGATTGTGTAACCATCTACCCGTGTATGACTGTGTAACCGTCTTCCCGTGTGTGACTGTGTAACCATCTACCCGTGTTTGACTGTGTAACCATCCACCCGTGTTTGACTGTGTAACCATTTGCACGTGCGTGACTGTGTATCTACCCGTGTTTGCATCTGTAACACTATGTATGTCCGTGTAAGCGTCTAGCTGTATCTGTAAGAGCACCCCTCTACACGTGTCCGAGTACACGCGACTACATGTGTGTCTGTGTTAGTCAGTGTCTGTGTGCCTGTGTTGTTTGTGCGCGCACGTGTGTGTGTAGAAGTACTATGGCATTGTAGTAGACTACAACATTTATATTGTATATCTGTTGGCTGTTTACCAATGTTTGCCACTGTGCTCGTGTATTTCCTACACACCTGTTCGTGATTGGCTACTCCACGTTACCCATGTTTGCCACTGTACATGGACTCGTGTACATGTACTCGTGTATATCCTACACACCTGTTCGTGATTGGCTACTCCTGTTCGTTACCCATGTTTACCCATGTTTGCCTGTGCTCGTGTATTTTTACACACCTGTTCGTGATTGGCTACTCCACGTTACCCATGTTTGCCACTGTGCTCGTGTGGCTATCCACGTTACCCATGTTTGCCACTGTGCTACACACCTGTTCGTGATTGGCTACTCCACGTTACCCATGTTTGCCACTGTGCTCGTGTATTTTTACACACCTGTTCGTGATTGGCTACTCCACGTTACCCATGTTTGCCACTGTGCTCGTGTATTTTTTACACACCTGTTCGTGATTGGCTACTCCACGTTACCCATGTTTGCCACTGTGCTCGTGTACCTGTTCGTGATTTACTACACCACCTGTTCGTGATTGGCTACTCCACGTTACCCATGTTTGCCACTGTGCTCGTGTATTTTTACACACCTGTTCGTGATTGGCTACTCCACGTTACCCATGTTTGCCACTGTGCTCGTGTATTTTTTACACACCTGTTCGTGATTGGCACCACGTTCATGTTTGCCACTGTGCTCGTGTATTTTTTACACCTGTTCGTGATTGGCTACTCCACGTTACCCATGTTTGTGTTTTTACACACCTGTTCGTGTTCGTGTTTACTGTTTCGTGTATTTTTACACACCTGTTCGTGATTGGCTACTCCACGTTACCCATGTTTGCCACTGTGCTCGTGTATTTTTACACACCTGTTCACCTACTCCACGTTACCCATGTTTGCCACTGTGCTCGTGTATTTTACACACCTGTTCGTGATTGGCTACTCCACGTTACCCATGTTTGCCACTGTGCTCGTGTATTTTACACACCTGTTCGTGATTGGCTACTCCACGTTACCCATGTTTGCCACTGTGCTCGTGTATTTTTACACACCTGTTCGTGATTGGCTACTCCACGTTACCCATGTTTGCCACTGTGCTCGTGTATTTCCTACACACCTGTTCGTGATTGGCTACTCCACGTTACCCATGTTTGCCACTGTGCTCGTGTATTTTTTACACACCTGTTCGTGATTGACTACTCCACGTTACCCATGTTTGCCACTGTGCTCGTGTATTTTCTACACACCTGTTCGTGACGTTTGCCACTGTGTTCGGCTACTCCACGTTACCCATGTTTGCCACTGTGCTCGTGTATGTTTTACACACCTGTTCGTGATTGGCTACTCCACGGTGATGACCCTACATATCATGACGGGGCATAGATTTTCGTATTCCAATCAAATGCAGAACACATTTAATTTATTAAAGAGAAGCACATTCATAGAGATACGTGAAGAAACAATTTTGTTTACCCCAGGTGCACTGTATTACAGTGATGTAGTATATGTAAAATATTAGAGACCTGAACTGCACTGGGTAGTTTTTTGTACATTGACCACTACGTGTGTGGTTTTCACCTGTCAGCTCCTCTATTTCTTCAGTGTCATAACTGACTGCTGTATTAAACACCCCATCTCCACAGTCTGATGGTTTTGGCTCATCACAATCATCCAAGTCTTTCAAGTAGTCCCTCCCTCCAGAAAATGCTTCCTCTACAAGTGACCATATTTTCACATGCCAAATAATTATTTGATAATGTTTACTTTTACAGCAGGATGGCCATTTGTTGTGATGCGTGCAGTATTTGAGGGGAGGGGGCTGCAACTGATTTTGTACAAGATTAAAGTGCCCTACCACTCTCACTTACCAACCGCTTCCCGTTATCCACCAACTTCAGTTACCAACCACCGCCCATTATCCTACCACTCTCACTTACCAACCGCTTCCCGATATCCACCAACATCAGTTACCAACCACCGCCCATTATCCCACCACTCTCACTTACCAACCGCTTCCCGTTATCCACCAACTTCAGTTACCAACCACCGCCCATTATCCTACCACTCTCACTTACCAACCGCTTCCCGTTATCCACCAACTTCAGTTACCAACCACCGCCCATTATCCTACCACTCTCACTTACCAACCGCGTTTCCCGTTATCCACCAACTTCAGTTACCAACCACCGCCCATTATCCTACCACTCTCACTTACCAACCGCTTCCCGTTATCCACCAACTTCAGTTACCAACCACCGCCCATAATCCAAAACATTCAAGAGTTGTGAATTTTGGATATACCCCGCTCAAATAGACTCTAGAAATATCAGGCTCAGTAAACGACACGTTCACGCCACACATACTTGTACCTCATCATTTTCATTTCTTAGCAGCCCTTTGTGTAGTTGTTACACAGGTGAATTATTGTTGTGAGATTTAGACTAGGTAACGTGGGAACGCTGTGGACGGAAGTGTGTTTTATTAAGCATAGGTATGTCATGTGTAAAACCATGTACTTGGATAACCTTTACAAAGCATGGCGATGATGAAGGTGAATAACCGTGTACACAGAAATGCCACAGCAAGCGATTAGGTGCAGTGTGCTTAAGCCGGGTCTATTCTGTCAATAATATTGTTGGTTTGTCGATGCTCATGTTTACCTGTGGATAGGTACACTACGTGTAGCCTGCAGTAAACTGGCCAGTGACCCGTGTCTATGGTACAGGGAACATAATGGTGGAATGTTCCCACGGCTGATCACCTCTTGACTGCATGTTATCAACGGCTTGTTTCGGGTGGCTTCAGATCCGGCTTCATCTACCATGCTCCTTTGTACGTGAACGGGTTTTTTGGTTTCGCCCCACCCTGAATAACCGCCTGAGGAAGCAGTAATAGCATCCAGATATCTTACAATGACAGGACCAGAGAAACATGTCCCTGTACCATGTGTTTTGATTACGGGTTGTCAGACTACCCGGGGACACGGGTGGCTAAGTCGTTTATTGCTCACCCTAATCTCTGTGCAGAGTTGCGGTGCCAGAAACGTGTCATTGTGGTTTGAATCCTGTCCAGATTATCTTTCCAGGTTTGACAGCACCATAACCGTTGGTTTCACCAAAATATTAAACGTCTGAGACCTGCGTCACTAAGGGCTTTCCGCCCACATTTACCTGACATATCGTTGTTTAACTTGAATACTGTAAACCACTCACTCACTCCTATAGACGACTGACACACTCGTTGTATAACTTGAATACTGTAAACCACTCACTCACTCCTATAGACGACTGACACACACAGAAATTTATAATCACCCACATTTACCTAACATGTCGTTGTATAACTTGAATACTGTAAACCACTCACTCACTCCTATAGACGACTGACACACACAGAAATTTATAATCACCCACATTTACCTGACATGTCGTTGTATAACTTGAATACTGTAAACCACTCACTCCTATAGACGACTGACACACACATAAATTTATAATCACCCACATTTACCTAACATGTCGTTGTATAACTTGAATACTGTAAACCACTCACTCACTCCTATAGACGACTGACACACACATAAATTTATAATCACCCACATTTACCTGACATGTCGTTGTATAACTTGAATACTGTAAACCACTCACTCACTCCTATAGACGACTGACACACACAGAAATTTATAATCACCCACATTTACCTAACATGTCGTTGTATAACTTGAATACTGTAAACCACTCACCCACATTTACCTGACATGTCGTTGTATAACTTGAATACTGTAAACCACTCACTCACTCCTATAATGACTGACGCACACAGACGTTCATAGCCTGCATGTGTTTGACACAAAACAGCTCGAAGTTCAAAGTATTTCATTTACCACACCACTAAACACGTCGACGTGTGCACTATTATGTTTTTTTTACAAAACAGTTTTATTGATGTCTGTGTTGTGCCATCAATAAATATTCTATTGGGATTTTAATATGCTAGTTTAAACACAAAACTGGGGGTGGCATGTCCACTTTCATTTCTTGACAGGTAACCATATCCACGTCCACACATGGCTGAGATTAAACGCGTGACGGTAGGAGTGGTGCGAGGTGGAGGTGCACTGTGTTCTGCCTACTTGAGCGTGCATTCGCCAGGTAAACAAACATCAGCATGCAGCAGGCGTCGTGTCCTAGTCGCGGGCTAGATAAATAACTTTGTCGTGTCAGTAAAACGTTTTCCGCTCTCTCTTCCTATTAAGTTTTGATAAGATATTAAAACTGTTGTATAGTCACTTCAAGATGGGTAGTGAATGTCGCCTGCTAGATCAAACATGCAATGTTGTACTACAGTGATAAGTTATTTATGTGTTTAGAAACGTCTTTCATCCCAACCATGCCAATGTGTGTTGGAAAGCTTCACTTGACCCTCTTCATTCTGACCATATCCGACCCATGTTCAAATAGTTGCAGCAGCATTTTAAGTGAGAATTAAGAACTAAGTGCGAAA